CTACTTGAATAAGCAATATCGTGCTCAGATGAATGTTCTAACAGCAGATAAGTATCCTAAGGTGTTTTGTTGTTCTCCCCCAGTTCCTTGACTTTCTTTATGATTTGGAGTAATAGACTTCAGCATATCATTTGCTGTTTTCTGAAATAAAAAAAAAATTCTTATCTCCTTTTAGAGCATTTTGAGATCTATGAATACAAGTTTTGTAAGTGCCTAATAATGTTATTAGTCTAAGTAGAAGAAGAATAATCTAGCTTGCACTGATGACCAAAGCTGTAATGAAAATGCATAGTAAAAATAGCTTTCAATTGGTGCATTTCTGGTTTACTATTTATGTAATTAGTTAGTATTGATAGACTAGATCCATTTCTCCGATTTATGGAGTGATTACTATTTAAGTGCTCATTATGGTCCACTCTGTTTCATGTAAATGTGTAGCTTTTGAGAGTATTCCTCTCATTATTATTGAAAATTTATACACAGTAGCACACAATTGCTGTAACAGTACTGTCTAGTACCTGGCATAAAGAATGTCCCTACAGTTTGAGGAGAAAATAGCATCACCTCTTCAGAAGTTTTCCCTTAAATTTAAGCTCTGCCAGTTCTTCTTGACTTCCTCCCTGTCTCCCTTCATATAGTGCAAGTGGGGCAGAAAGAAAATGCTTCCTTTCACGTCAGTTCAGATGTTTGGATTGCTGTGTAACAAGCAATTTTGTTAATAGAGTTTAAAAATCAGTATTTTTCTGGAAAGTCATTTCTTCATTTTTAGCCCCATTCTGGCGGAAGTAATTACCAGTTTTCTTTTTTGACCAGTTAACTTTGTGTCATTTAGCATTAAAATTTGGTGAATTTTCTGCTGTCATCAACAATACTATTTAACATTGAGAATTCTTATTTTTATCGTCCTTACTCTGCCCTTTGAGGATACTGCCTGAAGAAAGGAATGATATAAATGGCTCCTATATCTAAAGACACAAAGACTGCTTTATATTTGTTTCCTTCTACAGCAGTTTTGTAACTACAAGTTTATAAGCTGCCAAGGCAGAGTTGTTTTCCTCTTGTGCTGTGTAACGTTGACCAGCCTTGCTTTTGAGCATCTTTTCCTTGTATCTCTTGCTTCCTGAGTGCCATGGCTTTCATCCATGCCAAATTGGGGCGAAGTTCATGTGTCACTTTGGCTACTGTGCCTAAGGATGGGCTAGTAGCACATCCAGTAACACTCCTACAGTGCTTTTTAAACCGAATGTGATATAGGCAAGACCCTTAGGTATTTGGGGAGCGTGACATTTATCAGAGCTTTTGTTTGGCATCGCAATACAGTGTTATTTCGGGAACGTGAATTTAAATATTTGTGGCATTTTGTTGCTGAATTATCCTAGAGGAATCTACAACTGCTGTTTACTCACTGTAGAGATTCTAGTCTGAGAAAGTGGCTAGTACCCCCCCTCCAATATATCAAGATCCTTTCAGCTTTGCTTACAAGAACAAGTTGAAAATGTGCATTTCTGTTGCTGTAGTTATCAGCATACTAAGTTTGCCGTCTCCCCCCGTTTTTTTTGACTGCTTCAGCCTCCAATTTTCAACAAATAATGTTGAAAATCCAAGAGAGAAGACCTTAAATGTCCATCGTGATGCTATTCATGCTTAAATGGATGAGTCTAAATTCTTTTTTTTCTTTTTCCTCCCAGCACAGAGTTCTACACGTTATAAAGACTAGTCCAAAAACTCGTGCTCAAAAACTTAGCATCGCAATGCTCCATTAAAACTAATTTGTAACCTTCTGTGTTCTGTCTGAATAGACTGGTGTATGGACCACACTTCCCAAGATTGAGCAGAATTTTTTAAAACCACTGCACGTAGGACTCAATATGTCAAAAGCGCACTATGAAGCAGAAATAAAGAATAAGAAAGAAAACAGAAGAGGTTAGTTGTTTTTTTTTTTTTCCTTCGCTTTTTTCACATTTAGAAACTTCAAAAATCCTTTGGAAACAAAGAATTGGTGAGTGCTGTATGGATAGTCTTTTATTTAACTGTTGACACTATTCCAAATTTCAGATAGTAATTCAGTAGTTGCTATGTTTGATATTAATAATTTTCATAATTGCTCAGAAAAATCTGAACTCGTTTCTCTCTCATCACATTTGTAAACCTTATGGAAGCCTGCTGGAAATGTCACATGAAGATCTTCAAAGCTTGTTCTGCATTTATACTTCTGATTTTAAGGTTAGATAGGAGCATCTAAGTCTCTCTGTGGATATATATAGCCCTTAGGTTTCATACTAGGTGTAGGGAGGTTAACAGGAGAAGAAATAATTCACACAGCAAATAGGTGCTCTCTTAAAGCCTGAAGGATTACATTCTGGGGTTGGGGGTTTTTTTTGGTTTTTTTTTTTTAATCTGACACACAGAATCAGATTCTGCTGTGGGTAAAGCAGACACATTTCACGGGGCATAAGAGCTATAGCTGCTTTAGGCCATCTCTGTGTATGTCAGAGCCTCTGTTCCCTTCTGGTCTCCAGTGTAATTAAGACAGCCCAAAGAAGTTGTTTCTGCTACCAAAAATGTCAGAATGGCTTTTTGCCCCTAGTCTTACCCTCTTTGTTGTTGTAAACTGTAGGAGGCAGAGAAGGGGAATTTTTCTGGAGGCAACCTGTGGATATCTTTCTAAAAGGTATCCTTTAAAATGAATTGGGAAGCTTTTTCTTTAGGTCCCTCTTACATTTTTCTAGCCTTTGACAAAGCATAAAGAGATTTGAGTTCAGGAGAGAGCATCTCACTCATAACAGTAAATGGTTTAGCCTTTTTCCCCAATGTATAATCTTTGTAAGCATTATGTTGAATTTCAAATATGTGGTCTGAATGTAAGAGTTTTCCCCCTCAGTTTTCAGACTTGTCCTTGTAGTTTTGCCTGCTGCAAGTAAGCTGCCTGAAACAGAGAAGCCTGCAGCCTTTTCTTGATAAAATAAGAATTTCATGTCTGGATTCATTAAGTCAAGCTAAAGAACTTTCTACTGTCTCTCTGGATGTGGAAATACTAAAAATGTATCAAAAAATGACCAGATTTAATTTTTTTTTTTCCTTTTCAGCAGCATTTTTAGCTATATAAAATTGTTTGGAGTTGCAGATAGTGCCTGTTTAGCAATGTAGTCATGCATGATATAGGAAGTGTGGAGATAGCATCCAGCTCGAACTGGCTTCCTCTTATGGTTCAGCACCTTCTGTCCTGTGTTTGGTCAATCCCTGAGTTTGTGGGTTTTAACAATTACTGTCTAGAAATGCTAATATATTAAATATTCTTTTCATTCTAAAAGTTACATGAAACAGCAGCCTGATCTCTGGTTGGTTATTTTCTTCTACAGAGGCACACAGTTCTAACACAGTTTGTTCTGTAACTGTTAGTGGGGAAAAGATGCCTGCCATGACTACTGAAATGCAGCTGCAGGTGGGTTTGCATTTCCTTCAAAGTTATTCAGAAGTATTGAAATTTTCAATCTGGAGACAAACGTACATATACAGTGGGCTAAAAAAAAATTCTTCTGATAAAAATAACATTAATCTCTTTTGTCGTTTCAGGTTTTACACTCGGCTCTCTTCACCTTTGATTTAATAGAAAGTGTTCTAGCTCGAGTAGAAGAACTCATTGAAGTGAAAATGAAAGCTGTAATAGATGAAAATAGTTAGGTCAGCTGACGTATTTAACATATTTCTTACAAGATCACTTTGACTTTAGTTGAACAGGAGACCACCAACCTTTAAAGAGCAGCAATTTAGAGTGGCCTCTAGAAGAACTGCAAATGCTGCTCTGCCTAAGTCTTGCTGCTATTCTTTTTTATTTTCTTTTGCTCTTGTTCTATGCGATTCACAGAGATAGCTTATTTACTAAAGTACTCCTCTTCAGAATTTGATGCTTTTTTTTAAGTTTAGAAACTAAAAAACAAGTGGGGAGGGTGTTGTCCTTATGCTGTGGCAAGGAGGTATGGCTGTGCGTTTATTTTTCTGTTAAGTTTCAAGATTTGTTAGACAACAGTTGCTGACTGGTGGTATGAATTACAAAGATTTTTATAAAGTGACTGGAGAACCATTAATTAAAAAGCACTGTTTAAGCACAAGGTATTTTTATTAGCACTTTTTAATGTTGACAAACAAGCTTCTCTATTTACAAACAGGACTGCAAGGTATAGCTAGATAATAGTAGAAACACTATGGCAAAGGAAGCCAGGTTTAAAGAAAAACACATCAACTTTGAGCCAAATAAGATGTTAAAACTTAGTAAGACAACAAGTAACACTTGTGTTTAAAACCCACAGTGTATAAGATTTCACGCATGCACCCCTTTATGCATGGGAAACCTATGTTTTGGAATTGTTTTGATCATCCTTATCTTTAATGATAAAGTTTTTCTTAAGATATATTAAATATTTTGGGAAATTTTTACAAACAAATGAGCTCACAAGTTCAGAATCAAGTTAAAAATAAGGCTGGCTTTTCCATAGTGCAGTTAAATCACTTTTTTTTTCCCCCCCCCTTAGAATGCACAGTTGGTATAATGTATGCTATTTTTCACTGTATAGTTATTTAATATAAATTTTCATTCCAAATGCATAAGTTGTATATACAGTCTTTTAAAATGTAACTATTTTAAAGAACATTCTATATTTTGTTTAAAATGTAGCCACTCTATTTATGAATAAAACCCCCAAATACTAAATTAATTACAATGCAACTGGTACTCCTGATGCATCTTCCAAACTGGACTGTTTTCCATTATTTGGGCTTTTATCATTGCCATTTTGTAACGAATGTCATCTGCTTGCGGCTTGGAAGTTACCTTAGAGGCAAGAAAAACACTGTGAGCAGGACACAGTAACTCTTAGGTAACAGAATATTCAACATCATATTTTTCAGATAGTACAAATGTAAAATTATTCAGCAGTGAAATTTGAATCCTGTTTTCTGAAGTCGATATTCAGGAGCGATGTACACAGAGGTGATCTGCTGTATCCCTTTAGGTGCAAGACCAGTCCTAAAATAACCAGTTCTGTCAGCATTGCACGTGATTATCTGGAGTGTATTTCAACGGGAGCTGGGTATGGTAGCTCGGGATTAGTTGGATGGTATTGCTCCCTTGGTCCATTAACCTGGGGCAAAAAAGGTAATTTTTGAGGCCCTATGCCAGTTAGGGATTCTCTGGCAAAAGATGAGCTCATTAAACTGGCTTTGCCCTGCATCGGTAAGAAATAATGTAATGGCAACCGACGGATGGGTGGTATATACTGTCGTCGCTTCTCATGAGGCTCTCTTGTTGCAGTTTGGTGTAAACATTCCCAACAAGTGGAAAAGCAAATTCAAGTTTATAGGATCAGCATTGACCTTGAAAGCTTTTAGGTTAATGCTGTATTAAGACAGCAGGCCAGACATTAGTAGATTCCATAAAAAGTTTTAAGTACAATGCTCAACATTCTAATAAGTATTTAACAACTTGTGCCATAGAGTGAGACGTAGCTTACACACTTTAAAATGCTGATGCTCTGAATAGGTTAATACTTACTATTTTTGCGATGCCCACTTCAGGAAAGGATAAAAAGTCAATTCGTATTTGATTCCTAACATGTCATTCAACCTGCTCTTTATTTTTGGTACATGGAATGCTGCTAGTACTGTTACAGTTAGTATCTAAGTTAGAATTTTCATGGAAAAATGTTCCTTAAAGAGGTTCAGTAAATAGATTTAATTACTAATGTGTTGATGCATACGGGATATGTTGCAGATACCCAAATAAATTACACTCATGAAGCTGTAAAAATAATATACTAGTATATGTGCATCATTAAAAATCCACAAGTACCTAGAGTTTTCAGATTGGCATTTTGACTTGAAGTCATCACATGTTTACATCTCTTGCTGGTTCTGCACTAGTAAATGAAATGAAGACATCCTAACTTAAGAGCCAAATTAGCTCTTAAATATCTAATTTGTCTTCATAGATGCTATTAAGAGCTTTTAAAATTACCTTTAACAGTAGTTTAAAGGCTCAGCTAAAGCATGAGAGTAACAGTCCTACCTCAATGCGTTACATGGATTGTGGTCAATGCGACCCAAAACGTTCCACTAAGAAAAAAAAAAAAAGTATTTTCTAGTTTTTGGCTTTTCCTGGCTAATATACTTCTGAAGAAGTAATATTTTTAAGTATATGCAGCCAGACTTACCTTAGCTATAGTCAGCATTAACTTAACAGTTTCAGCAGCATTATGAGCTGGTATTATACGTAAATTACTGCCCAGAAATCTGCACATCAAAATAAATTAAGGTCAAGGTTACTTCTAGAATGCACATTTGTTATGCCATAAAACTCAAGAAGCATTCCCACATGATGTACAGACCTGCTTACTGTGCCTTTACCACACGTGCCTAGGAGATCGCTTTTATCTCGAAAGGCAACTGGAGAGCTCATGCTGTCTGTACAGCCATCTGGCCCCTTGCTGGACCACTTGCTTAGGTGGCATTTGGAAGGGCTCATTTCTTTTTGTAGGGCTCTCTGACAATCAGTCAATCAACGCTTCTTAAGCATGTCTATGTTCGGAGAGAACTAAACCCTCTTCTAACATACTGTTGAAGACCCTCCGTTCTCAGTGCCGGTAAAAAAAAAAAAAAAAGTTTAGGGGTTTTTTTAATGGCTTTGGAAGAACACAGGAGAGTATCTAAAAGACCGTGCTAAAAATACTTCGGAATTTGAACTAAATCCTTGTAGTGTACTATCTAAATATAGCAATCTGTACAGCGGATGCGATTAAGATAATGGGATAGTTCTGCTACAAATTTCATGTAAAGACGTGTTCATTCAAACAATTTAACCTAAAATTCATTCTCTTTCTATAAATAATGTTACTCATACGCATTCATTCTTGAGAATGGAATCTGAAGATTTACAATACGAGCATCAGCTGCCATTCAGTGCAGTCATGGAAGAGGGAGAGATCAAAGCTTAGGCGAGCACAGAGCCTCTTCTTAAGACTTGCACCTTAAGTGTGTTGTAACAACGATAACATTAGCCTTGCTGCCGTTTTCTGCTGTGGAGCTAAAACGTGATGGGGACTGAACAACAAAGAATGAGGAATTTTAAATAATCTTAAATTTAATCCAAACAAAGTGCTCAGCTGCTCGCTGGCCTACTCCCTGTGACCTCCCCTTGTGACTACCACCTGCTCTTTCCTGCAAGCTGCTGGGTGGCTTGGCCTCCTTAAGAGCCGTGCTGGCTAGAGAGCTGATCTGAACTTGGCTGCCCGTTCTTCTAATCAGCAAAAATAAATCTTATAGGCAGCGTCCTTCCCTACGAGTAGCTACTTGGGTCACTCTTGAGTTTTGCTAAGATCTGATGTAGCAACTGGTTTGATTTACATCTGAGGATTAGGGAAATAAAGAGATGCAACTTTGCTAATACTAGCAAGGGCTAAGCAAAGCATGAATGAACGAAGTGCAACAAACGGTTACATGTGCTTACCTGGATCCATGAAAACCCACTGCAACAATGGTCTCGCTTCCAATTATGGCAGGTCTAAATTTAGTTTGTATTTGATTCATTTGATCAGTGGGCCCAATATTGGCCCAGAGAAAGCAAGCCTGGTCTTTGCTCCAAGGTGTTTAAAAATTAACATACAGATTCACTGAGAATATTTGTGGAATGCCCACTTGAGCTGTGATGATAAAGATTGCTTTTCTCCTCCTTTCCCCATGGTATACACAACCCTATGTAAAGTGTTCATGGTGAACAATCCCATGTTGTTGTTGTTGTTAATAACAACAACAACAACAAATCCTTCCCAATTGCAACAAAACCATAGATAAGCAGAAAGAAACAGTAATACAGGAAGACCTGAAAATACCAGAGGACTTTGTTTTTTAACAAATCCAATAGGTGACTTGTATTTGAGAGAATACGGCACAAGTTTCCACCCCACCGATGCAAAAGCTCAGTCAGCAATTTAGACACAAGAGCAGAACTCCAAGCTGCCAGGTAGTAACAAAGCACATGCATCTAAAAATATAATTGTGCCTTGTCAACATCAATTTGGTATGGCCTGCAATGACAAAACAATGATTTTAATAAAATTACTGACTTGCCAAATGGAATATAGTTTCAAAACATCCCATTTGTTAGCGATCAACACGTGCACAAAATCTGTGGTACATAACCACAAAGTAGACTGAGAATTAGCATTGCCGTCAGCTGAATAACACATTCTCGCTGAATGGTGGCAGAGCTTCTAAGACCTCTCATGAAAATTTATGGAATTTTCACAAACGGGTAATAGATTTCCTACATTTCATCCCATACACTCTGCTACTCATCAGCATTTGGCAGCGTGCCCAGGATTTAACGAAGCTGGTGCTAGTTTCAAAGAGGTAAAGATCAAAGGCTCCATTAGAATAGTCCCTTCTTTGATCTCAAGAGTGAAAATCAACTGCAGTAGGCCTAGCGCTCCTACCAGAAAATAGTTGGAGCTTAATCTGCTAACTGCTGTCAGCAGGTATGTCCTGAAACATGCACGTTTTTTCAGGCTTCATTAGAAATCACAGATAAAGTTTTAACGTCCGGTTTTATACTTCTACCATAAAATAACATTATTTCAATTGTTCTAGCTCTGTATAACAGACACTGTTCCAAGTAAACAGATTTTAAAAGCTGGTAAAGAATCTGTACTTTACAATAAAGCCTCTTCTCATGAAGGGAACTTGCCTGTTCTGTTTTGGAAATGACTGTGAAAAGATGCTGATGGAACTAAGAAAATTGCCTAATTTTCCAGTTCAGGAGGAAAGTTGAAAAAGAATTATATGACATAGCCCTAAAGTGATGGAAAGGGATGTTATTTGCTGTTTTGAGGAACATCCCCTTTTCTTACCTCTGACACGTCAGACTGATTCACTTAGTATTCTTTTCATTTGCCATTAATAAACCTATGCTTTAAATAATTTTCCAGCGCATTAGCAAAATAAAATTCATATTCCTGAAAATAATTCCTAAAACAACATTCCCAAATCTAGGACTATTTCATGTCTTCCTAGCAATAAAAATTTTGGTTTGATGTTGAAATCATACCTTCTCTGAATCCTAAACATGACATTCCATTCTTCTGGTCCATGAAGAGCAGCTGACAAAACCAAAAAACTGTTCCGATGAATGTTTATGAACTTCTGAATTCTTTTGAAAAACTGTTCCTCCCCTGTCATAAGCAAGTCTTGAGTGTCTACCAGTATAAATGCAACACCTATTGAAGAAATGCATATAAAAGTATACGTCGTGGCAGTAACGTGGTTAAGTTCTCACCACAAACCAGGAAGCAGAATTCTTATTCAAACATTATGGAACAAAACACATGAATGAATTTACACATCTTGACAGTGAAATGCAATCATGAGATGTGGCCAGGAATGACTAGTATTTTTAAGCTAAAACTACAAATAACTCCAAGGTTATTTTTGACCATAACATCAAAAAACCCAACTGTTCAATCCACTCAAAGTACAAACATCTGAACGCCTTTGAAAGCACACGCTTCAGGAACAAGTAACTGCTATAATGGAATAAATTTAGGGCAAATGCAAAGACTGACTTTAGAGCTCGACAAGTCCTGTTTCTAAATGAGATAAACAAACACACCTGTAGCATCTTAAAACTAAGCTAAACTGTCTACCATGAAAAATGAAATTATAACCCTGTCAATTAAGTTATTCTGGAAGGGGAAGTTAAGAAGGCTGAAGTTTAGGAGGCTGAACAACTGAGGATACAAAAGCCTAGGCCAATGTGTGCTTTGTTAATCCTTATAGTTCAGGAAAGCTTCAGGTTGAAGGATCTCATCTACCTGTCTAAAGCATCATCTGCTCTAAAAAGGAAGGATAGATATTTCATGCTTGCAGTTTCAGTGATTTCCTGATGAAACCCGCTCAGCAAATCCTTTCCCTAACCCCTCTGCTAACACCAGGTCTGCAAACTCAGCTTGGAAGATGAAAGCCAACCAGGTCTTGGTTCTCTCTTGTGTTTACAGCCATGAATACTAAAAATATGCTGCCTTATATGTTAGTGGCACTCCATGTGTTTGCTCAGTTATAACAAGAATTTACTGAACAGTTCGGCTGATGATCACCAAATCTAATGTAGCTGTTCTACAACACACCCCAAAACAGTAAAATCCAATGAAAATGTTTCATCCTCAAAGTTCTCCACTCCATCCTCTGATTTATGTGCAACCACAGCACAGCTCCTTCCACTATTGCATGACGTTCCAACAAGGCAGCTTTTATTCAGTTTAGCGTAGCCTACAACAGGGCCTGATCTCGTACCTCATTAGAGCTTATGAGTTTAGAAATGTAAACTTCAAAATACTGTACCAGAAAGAGAAAAAATCACGGATCCAATTTCCACCGATTCTGAATATCGAACTCGGTGTTGTTGCCTCTGTAGAATTGTAGAAATTTCATGATTCTAAATAAATTTTAAAAGGTTATTTTAAAAATATGTTTGCAGCCAACAAGTTAGAAATATTCTTAAAGCAGTCTGAACCATTATAGATAGAACTTTTACATTGTTGTTTAAAAAATATTTTTTATTCCACTTGCAATAAAAAAGTAGTAAAATGTTAATTAAACTCTTTCAGTTAATGAAATTTTGAAATATTTGCATTGGAAGTTATCCGACATTGAATGACAATTTGGTATGCATACATTCAGTTTGCCACAGGAAACTCTTGCATAATACATAAAGAAGCTCACGCATTTTACAGTCTATTTTTGTAAAATGTGATAAAGGAGGATTTGCAGAAGCGAGGAACATACAGTAGTGTGTTTCTGTGACTCCGGTTAATTAGACTGCATTATTTTCACCAACATCAGCATTTAATTTGGAAGATAGTTCAGAAAATCTGTATGGGACGTGATTTTCTTCAAAGCTTTTTGACAGAATGCAATCCACTCAGGAAAAATAGAACATGGCACTACGCAGCATAATCATCTACAGAATAGAGTGGGTTGGGATATATTTTTCAGCCTGAAAAAAACCCATTTCTGCAGTATGTTCTACAGAAGCTGCTCACACACATGCATTTTAAAAATTAAATCACTGAATCCTTTTTTTAACAGCATGTTCTTTAACCTACCCATTTAAAACATAGCCAATCTGCCTATACAGGGAGGTGTCATGATTTAGTGGAGGAGTACAAAATAAAGTCAGGCTAGCAAGTGAACCCTGAAGGAGACAGTAACCAGAAATGTTATGCTTTCAATTGGTCTGGAAATGACTCAATGACAGCTGCTTATAAGGTATAACTACAGTTTTGGAAAAACTCTCTGCTTCAAAGCCACTGCTGACAGTGAATTATTTAATGCACAAATATAAGTAACAGCTCTAAGAAAAAAGATAGCTGCACAGGGAAAAGAGAAAGCTCATAACCGAAATTTATACAAAGCAATGCCTTTGGAAAGGAAAAGCCGTCTTAGATTTGTATTCAGCTGTTTCCATATCTCTGCTCACTGGGAGGCCTTACCGACAGCAGTAGTTTTGAGTAGAGCTGAGGCTCTTATTAATAGGAGTGAGTTATGCTGATATAGCTCATGAGATCACTGCCCTCCAAAACCTCTCATCGTATTACAGATTAAGTTGCTCTTGAAGCAGCTCCCCAAACTGGAACAGTTTGCAGGCTATCATTCCAAGACAAACAGGCAAATAAGAACAGGCTTTAAACTGAGGTGATTCAGGAATTACTTCAACACCGTTTGCCCATTCATACAGCAGAGATGAGGTGATAACCTTGTCAGCCAAGCTGGCATAAGATATCCTTGCTTGTGAATTAAAGCTCCCTTGCCTCTAAATTCTCTCCAGCTGGCATGAAATTGGTCTCAGCTGCAGGAACTAATTACCAGCTCCTTGACATACCCTTTCACTTTACTGAGGAACACAGTCCAGGCTTCTGATGTCAATGCCTACAAATATACATCAGTATCTATCAGCCTCGCTATTTTAAACTGAATTGCACACTTACTGAGTAATAATCTACCCCAGTGTTGACACTGTATAGTAGAAGATGAAGTATTTAGGGAGAAATTCAGAAAATTAAAAACATTTCTGATGGAATTATTCATAATGCTAATTGAAAGCAGCATCAGCGCAGTGCAAAAATGATGAGTCAGGAGGACAATCCTAAAGCAGTGTAACTCAGAATAGCAGTCGGCAAGAATACTAAATAGGTACAGAAGTAGCCAGAAGAAAAAACACACACGCAAAAAAAGAACCAGTACTATAGCAGAAACAACTTCAGACTAATGTCGCTGTTTTATCCTCAAAAATCTATAGTCATTGACATTGCATAAAGTATTTCCACATAGAATGTAGGAAATGCTTCTTTCAGCATTTTTTAGTGAGTCACATGCTGCTCTTGACATGTGCTATTGTACCTGCAGAGCTGTACTCATAATAACTGTTGTTATCCATCTTGACTGTTCCTGCCCACCACTTTCTGTCATTTTTTTCAAGAGTTTAATGGCTCTGCAGTGAAATCTCAGCTGCCACCTTCTGAAAAGCTTGGAAAAAGAAAGATGACAAATATTACCTGCCAATTAAAGAGGTGAACTGTTCAAGGCACACAGATCCATTAAAGATCTGATTAAAAACCAGAGCACTACCCAATTCTCCAAATAGTATACAGGTGCCCACTACCACTGAACTAATTTAAGATGGCAATTAGATGCCTAAATGGCTTTATAGACTCTGCATCTGGGAGGGCTTCCTCTGTAAGGCATAACAGGGAGAGCAGTGTAATGGGTAAGTGACTTCAGAAAAGCATTCCTAAAAGCACTTAAAACAACTAAGGCACATTTGCCCAGTTTTCAAAGGGCACGTTTGTTGCTGTGCACCTTTTACACTAAGATACTTCTGGCAAGACTGCCCCGCCTGCCCAGCCTGGAGCTGCCCGCCATGCCGCGGGCCCGAGCATCAGCTCTTTTCATGAACATTTGCATTTCACTCGCCTGAAAATACTCCTGCATATCCCGCTTGGCAGGCGTTTGCATTTCAGTCAGGCTCCTGTGGTGCAGCTGGGGACGCTGGAGCTCCCTGGGGAGAGCCTGAGGCGGGCCGGGCCGGGCCGGGCCTCGCCCCCTGAGGCGCCCGCCT